ATTATGGCATAACCGAACCTATAACGAGGTCATATCAAAGATCAAGAAAAATATTTAAGTGGATTTTGACGAACTTTATCTAAGTTTCAGCTAGAATCTCGATATTAAAAAACCCAAGACGACCTTATTCCGCTAGTTATATACCACGTTCTAGGATATTCTAGACTAGGCAGAATAGTCTAAATTAGGTAAATCAACTAAACGGACACCTCACTATCCCTATTAGAATATGCTAAATGATGGAAATCACTGATTCTAGGACTACGCCTACCTTAATCTATTAAAGAGACTAGTAAATTATATATGGGATGAAGACGTGGATTCACACTTTAAGAGAGTAGCTAGTAAGAGCTTACCATTCAAGATAGCCTTAGATAAATTCAAAAAGGATAATATGGGTACTAACGCGGTTAGCATACTAACTATATTTAACCAGATTGGGTTGAATCAACCATAAGAGACCCCAATTTAGACGTTATACCACGTTTCAGCACCATAGAATTATCTAGATTGGGCCTTTGATATAGTATCAAACATATATATATATAACGATAGATCGCTATTCTCTAATTTCGTAGAACGGAGTATATATATTAAAGTTAGAGATACTAGAACGCCGGTTCTAGGTGTTAGATTAGTCTTATTCTAGCTAACTAAGGGAAATAGCCGCTTTAACCTCTATGACGTTATATATTCCTCATTATTCTACGTCAACCTTATTTCCGCCTCGCGTGCACGTGTAGTAGGTATATATCTTAACGACCGGACTAGCTACCTTAAAGGCAAAACTGGTAACTAGTTATATAAGGTGGATTATTAAACTGGTATATTGCTGGTTAAATGGGATAAAAAGAACGTGTTTTAGAACGTATTTCTCACATCAAACTGCCATATTGACAGCCTCTATAAGCCTGATATAACTACTATATATACATAATTAAACGTCTTGCTAATTTAACCAGTTACCTATGGGACGTCGTCTAGTCCCTATATAACTAAGGTAACTATGGAGCTCGTCCATAAGCGTCTAGGTTATATGAGCAAGGAAGTGGTGTAGCATATCTAGGATTCGATAACTGGCATCGAGATCGATAAGACGTTGATATTTCCATATATTTGCGAGACGTGTTAGCTTAGTAAGGCAAAACGTTAGATATCAAGGCGTCCCATAACGACTAGAACGTCCTTATTTAAGGCTATCCACTAGGATCTCACCTATATATAGCGCACTCATAATCAGGTGCAATATATTAGTCACGTATATTGTCCCGTGACTAGTTATCATATTTTGATAAATTTATTAAGCAAAATGGATATTATAGACGACTTAAGAGCCAAGATTACCTTTCTAAAGCGTCAATTTAGAATTCAGGTCAAGGTGCTCCATATAGATGGTAACATGAATTTATCATAATTTACCTAAATTAACTATATACGACTCAGAATTCAACACCATTATACGCCACCTGGTCAGCCGGAGTAGAATGGATATTCTGAGCGTGCTAGAGCACGAATTGCTAAATTATGCTGCTCCATGTTGATTAAAGCAGGTCTTCTAAGCTCGCTATGGCCTAAAGTAGTGAATTCTGCGGTCTATTTACTAAATTAGACCCCTATGAGACGACTAAATTAGGCAACGCCCCACTAAGCTCTATATGACGCGCTTATGGAGACTGGGATTAATCCACCTAGATATATGGACCTAAAGCCGTCTCTTTCTAATCTCTGAGTCTATGGGTATAAGGCATATATGCGCATTCTATCGACTATATAATCATAGAAAGTTGGTCCAAGAGCCTAAATTGGCTATCTAGTTAGATATATGGCTTTAAATATCTAGAGAATTTAGATCCCATCCCGTAACAAGGTTATTCGTGTAAGAGACTATATTTTCGACGAGACCAGTTTTTTTAAGCTAACTAACTAGATTGAGCGCCAGAAATATGAGGTTTTTGACGATTTAGGGTCTATTATTAACTACCTTAATAAGGTAGAATTTGACTCTCTAATTATAGATCTCGATATGCTAGATAACGAGTAGAGAGTAGAAAGTATGGAAAATATGACGTTAGAACGAGTAGAAACTTAGGATATGCGTTCTGAGGGGGATGAGGAGGATGAGGTCTTGGGCGATATTCTATATACACTAGAGACCATGAAGGGATCACCTGACCAGTCCCCAGAGCCGTCTTCTTCAGCCGAAATCAACCAGCTCCTAGAACCGTCTTTTTCGGCCGAAACAAACTAGGTGGATAGACCCGCTATATCGGTAATGAGACCCATGATCCTGGTTAATAATTCACGATTTGACGTGTTAGAATATCTAATATTTAACGATAATCCTACCCATGATTTAGACGACTCAGAGTCTATAGAAGACATGGTGAATAACCGCCTAAAATGTGCCTTTGATAGCATATATAATGTGGATTTTGAGGATTATAACACTAAACGTTTCAAGTCGAATCTTACCCTATTTCCATTTATCTAGGCGTTCTCTGCCGCGCTAATGAGCTAGCCAAAGAAGGCTTATATTAAGGATATTCCACTACCTCTAGAAGGTTATTATAACCTTGAAACACACGAATTTCGAGTCTAATTTAGAGAAGTAATAGAGGTAGAATTTAGGAAGCTAGAATAAATGAAAGCATAGATTCTAGTCAAGAAAGACCTTATTTCTTAGGCTTATATTAAGTGTGGACCTATTCTATAGAAATCGTGTCTAATATACCAAATCCTACCTGTTAGGTAGGTATTCGCCTATAAAACGGACCTAAATAGGTACGTTATAAGGCATAAAGCGCGCTTATATATATATAGAGACTAGTAGATTATGGAGGATCGTGATACGCGCGCTACTACGCTCGCCGCCACCACATTGTGTATTCTATTAGCTATCATAGCCATATTCAACCTTAAAACCATATAATTAGACGCTATTAACGCGTTCTTAAATAGTTAGCTAATAGACAATGTTTTCTATTATTATCCACTAGGATTTAGACGGAAAGGACACGTTTTAAAGCTTCTTCAAGCCCTATATAGTCTCTAAATTACCCCATTTCTATGGCAATAAGAACTCCACGAAGCATTAAGAGCATATAGTCTTAACCTAATTTCTAAAGACCTATGTCTATATATAGGATAGAACGTGATTATTATGGTCTTTATAGATAATATACTAATAATATATTATTAGAAATACGCTAAATCAGCGTAGAAAATCAGGTCATTCCTTTATAACTACTTTAAGATGAAAGATTATGGAGAATTGTCTTATTTTATCGGGATATGAATTATCTAAGAACGTGTAACTCGTCGATTATAGATCTTATAGGACGTATATATTAATAAAATTACTTACTATTTTAACCTCACTAGATATACCGTACCTAAGACCCTATTACCGTCTAAAAGACTAATGGAATTTAAGACTAAACCACCTCTATTATATACCGCTCTAAATAGATATTAATAGCGTATTAGAAGCCTTCTTTTTAATATTATATCTATACGACTAGATATATACTTCTTATTATAAGCTCTATCCACGTTCTTAACTAAGGCATATATATTATATATTGCTATAGTAGATCACGTCATTAAATATCTATATAGGACGAAACACCTTACTATTAAATTTAATAGGCGTAAGCTAGCTACTTAGCTATTCTAGGCTACCTTAGATACTAGCTTTATGGATAATCCTGATCGAAAGAGCTTAGAAGGGTATATTTTCTCGTTATATAGTAGAGCTATTAACTAGAAATCGCGTAAGTAGCGCACTATTACTACGTTAATAACTAAAGCCGAGCTTCTATCTATAATAGTAGCCGCTAAATAGTTATATTAGATTAAACGGTTATTTCGATTAATTAAGTTCGATCTTAAAGAGCCCTTTGTCCTATAATGCGATAACTAGTAAACGGTCGATCTCCTTATTAAGTAAGACTTGATATTTAAGACTAAGCTAAAATATATAGATATTTAATAGAACTAGCTACGTTAAGAAGTCCAGAATGGAAACTTATTAATTAAGTAGGTTCTAACCTTAGAGATGCCTATTAATGGACTAACTAAGCATCTTTTATCCTAATAATAACGACGCTTCGTAGAATAGCTTAGTATAGTTAATGTGTAGTACCTTATATCTAACTAGTCTAGTCAATTTTAACGGTTTAACCCGTTATATTTCCTTAGTTATATTCTAGAATTTGATAAATTTTGTGGGATTTACTTACTAAATATGCAGATTTAACATGCTATTAAATCTAGGGGGGTATGTTAGAGAATGGAGTCCTTATATGTTCTTTAAGTTCGCACTTTTTTACCGGAATTCTCCGTTATTTCGTTTATGTTATATCATATGATATTTTACTTGATTTGTTTATTCTGTTTGATTTCTACTCTAAATCTTAGGTATTTAGTTCTTGTATTTCGGCAGAATAGTTTGAATCTAATGCCAATTTCTTCTCCACTTTCTATCCTGAGAATTTCCTGAGAAGACCCTGAATTAGCTTAGCTTGACTACATTGCCTTGTTCATCTGATCTAATTCCCTGAGATTGGTAACCAGTTGCCCTGCCAATCTTAGACATATACTTATATTAAATGTAATTTATAATGGTACTAAATTACATAGTATTAATCAGCAGTTTTATACATGCCAAGACCATAGTTTTATGCAAAGATGGGCTTTTTATGGGCCCCCATGGGCCCCCATAAAAAGCCCAAAGCCCATAGTGGGTTGGGCTTGAGATTTACATAAAGCCCAAAGCCCATAGTGGGTTAGGCTTTGGGCCCGACTCTGGGCCCATTTTCAGGTTTTGGCGATGTCTAGTCAACTTAGACGCCGGCAATCCAGCGGTGGTGGTGGTAGCTATCCCAATGTCCCCGGGGACAAAGGCCCCAGCAAGAGCATCCAGTAGGAAGAGGGCCCGTCAGGCCCCGAATGTACCAGCGATGATAACTATGGCGGCGAGCTGTGCACAGGTTACTACTATGATCCGCACCCAAAGATCCCCCACCCGCCGGATTACTATGACCCCAAGGACCCCAACAACCCGCATAGACAGCCCGAGGCGCCGCCCCCCCCCGGAGCCCTCAAAGACCACCAGCACCACGCCCCCAACGCAGACGCCAAAGCCCCCAACCTTAGACTTATGCGTTAGTAAGACTACAACGCCCGGCATGCCATATCCCATCTTCGCCTACAGTGCCTATATACCGGGTATATGTCCTCATCTCCTCCCGACCTCATTATATCGCCGCGCTAACCCCCTCTCCAGGCGACCCCTGCTATAGCGGGATATTCATTATTGACGGCAATATTCAAACCGCTCCCGATATCTACGAAGCGGCCAATAACAACTTCGCCATTGATCAATGCGGCACCGACATGACCTTTATCAATGAAGGTCCGGATATCTTCGACTGCGGCTTCCAACTGGAAATCGATGGCAAGAAGTATACCCCGCGGAAGCTATACCCCCAGGCCGATGATAATCCATGCTCAGGCCACTGCGATACGTCTTCGAATACGGGGCTTTTGTTGTATGAGGACCTAGAGGTACCGTGGTGTTGATAGGTTTGTTAAGTAGGGAAGGTAGATGAGATGTGGATCGGAATGGATGGAAATAGATATATATATTATATAGTGCTATAGTGTGTCATATATTTCTATATCCGCAGATGGTATGCGTTCATGAAAGGAAATGATACGCGGAAAGGATTTTAAAGCAATGTAAGATGACATAGTCAGGACCTCGTGTATATATAATTATGCTTATGGCTAGACCTGGATAAAACCCGCGGGAGCTACTAAATTCTAGTCCTATGCCCGTGGGCCCTTAGTTATATAGGCTGGGATAATATGGTTTTGACTAGACATCGCCAAAACCTGAAAATGGGCCCAGAGTCGGACCCAAAGCCTAACCCACTATGGGCTTTGGGCTTTGGGCTTTTCGTGGGCCCCATGGGCCCCCATAAAAAGCCTAACTTTGCATAAAACTGGTCTTGGTGCTCATAAATCTGCTGACGAATATGGAAAATGCATAAAAAGACTGTATATTTTGAATTTCTACTAAAATTAGTAAATGTTTATACTGTTTGTAGACTAGTGGGCCCCCAATGGGCCCCCAACAATGGGCCGAGCATCGGGCCCAAAACCCAACTCATTTGTGGGTTGGGTTGGGTTGGGCTTTGGGCTTTGTGGGTTTTGGCGATGTCTAGTGTCACTAGTGTATCAATTTGGGAGCTGGTGTCGACACTTTAAACTTTTACCAATTCCCTGTGGATATTTCTGATCTGGGTATCTCGGTGTTTACAGTACCAGAGTTGATCAATGTTGAATCAAAAAAAACAACGTCAACCTTCAAGATTAAGGGAACAAAAAAACACCGAAACCGATAAAACGGAACCCTCATGGCCGTTGAGTCTGAATATTTTTATTTCACCATGCTTATTGCTCGGAGTTATTCGCCTCTTGCGCCGTATCTTTGGCAGTAGTTCAGCGAAAAGAGGCTTCAGGTAGGCATAACAGATCCACCGTCTCTTCTTACTCCCAGAGCTAGTCCGGATCCAGAAGGAAAGCGCGGCTCTTACCGGCTCCCCCCCACATCTGAAAAAAGAACTCGAGTGGACTACTCAGGGCTAGATGCGCAATATCATCAGAATAATAAGAGAAACAAAGGAAAGACTATGCAATGTCAGTGGAAATAGTCTGCTGAGGAGCGTTCCGGGCCTCACCAAAGTCAGAAATGCCTAGGATGTGTTGTTCAATAGGTTCATAGTTGCAGTCGCCGATTCCGCAGTATTCGTTGTGACGGCGAGCGGCAGGCCGGAAACGGCCTTGGGTCGTTCTACCGCTTGACCGCTTACCCTTGATCAGTGAGCACGGGTGGCTGCTCACGTGATCTGGTTCTGTAACTCTCTCCTCAGGAATCGGTTGGCCCTCATCGTCTTTCGTGAGGGTCGGGCAAAGTGGGTCCGTAACAAAGAACTCCATTTTGGTGTGATAATATTATTCTGACCCACATTTTTCTATGCAAACTTTTCCGTACTGTACCACTGTACAGGTACTCTAAAAGTCAATAGCACAGTATATCTAATATTGCTTCCCAAATGTAACTTCTGGAGCGGATAGTTCGGCAAATTTGGCAGAGAGCCCTTGAAAATAGCTTCCATTTAGAAAATTTAGTAGGTATTTCGGATAAAATTTTAGCTAATAGGCCTTGGATAGGATATCCAAAAAGGTAATCTACTATTCTTGAAGAAACTATTGCTGTAAAGATATGCCAAGACCAATATAGACAAGAGAAGAATTGTATAGATTTGGGGAATCTAATAGTTTCTTTGACCCAGAAATTTACCTGATCAGTGTTCCTAATATAATTAAGCTTACTTGGCGTTAGTTAAAGAGATATACCACTAAAAAAGGGGCCCTAAAGGCATAGGCAGAGATAATTCGGATATAGCAAGCTATATGGGAAGTCATGCCGCAGGAGCAAATCTAGTAATGGATTAATGGATTGAATATATTCCACATCATCTCAAGCAAATGATCAAACTTGAGGATGGGAATGAGTATAGAGAAGGCCGTGGAAAAAAAAAAAAAAAAAAAATAGGGGCAAGGGACGGAGAATACGGTGGAGAGCATGGCAGGCTCAGGATTCAGCTCAGCTGAACATAGGACGGTGGGTCCCTCAACATTGAACACATACTCAGAGCACGGTGGAGAACACGGTGGAGAGCATGGCAGGCTCAGGATTCAGCTCAGCTGAACATAGGACGATGGGTCCCTCAACATTGAACACATACTCAGAGCACGGTGGAGAGCACGGTGGAGAGCATGGCAGGCTCAGGATTCAGCTCAGCTGAACATAGGACGGTGGGTCCCTCAACATTGAACACATACTCAGAGCACGGTGGAGAGCACGCTAAACAAAATACTTTAAGTGGATATTTCCAACCCCTATTAGGTAAAGTGTGTATTTGTGGCGGTCAATAATTTTTGAAGCTAACCATATGCAACACAATGGATACAGACGTGCAAACTACTCCTCTAGTCATACATTTAACATAGTGTGGTGGGTCAGGACCCACACTGGGTAATCCAGGGCTTGTACGTAAAGAACCCTATGGGTATATAACACAGAATGCATACGATCCATCAGTGTTCTTCAAGAATTATGTTCCCATACACCCCATCGTACAATCTATTATGTGCCTTGGTTCAATATCATCTTATCCCATCTGCCTTGTCCATCACTCCATTACATTCGCCCAACAATACGCTCCTATTCCACTGTCATGGAAAGACTCAGCAGTGCCGGGTGCAATAGCGTCCGATCTGATGATGAGCTAGAAAACACTACCTGGTTCCCATTCTGTGTAGCTGCGACTAAGCTTAGCAGCTATAGTGGAATCTTTCTCTCTCTTCTTTTCATCTTCTATGTCTTCTTGAATCGTTTCGTTTTCAGACGTTTCCTTCTGGCCTATATGTACGGTGAACACTACTCTTCTCTGCAGCCATCAAAGCAGCGGCTGTTCGGCCTTCGTCATCTTGGAGTGTTTGCGAGAACGATCTCCTTGGTTTGCATAATAAAGCCGGCGGTCATGTTGGTTCTTTTCAATAGTCGGTGGACCGATTCCTACTTCGGGAGCTCTAGCATCACCCTTGGAGATATGGCGTTCCTTTCGGCCTCATTTACATCTGCCTTCCACATCTTCGAGCTCATTTTTGACGAGCAGCTCAAGCCTCTTATCTTGGCTCACCATCTAGGCGCGATAGTTATGGTTCAAGCATTTCTACCAACCGCTGTGAATGTACCCGCCACTCGGGTCCTTCAGCTGAATAGCACCATCGCCATGGCTAATGTTTGTATGAGTTGGGGTGAGTGCAACTTTCTGTACTAGAACTCCAGTATCACGGTTCCTTTGCTGATACATCATTAGCAACCCTAGATGCCCCGATAGTCATCGCATCATACGTGGTTTGGATATTGCAACGTACCTGGGTTCGAAGCGACACCGGCCTTCGCAAGCTATATTCTTTCAGCTTCTACTTGGCTGTTCTTTCAACATTCTTTGAAGCGCTTGCGGTTATTTATTTTGGCGCCCGGTACTGGAGTCAGTTTTCTGCCCCGCAAGCATTGACTATTTGCTGCCTCCAAGTACTATTTACTTCAGCGAAAACGAAGGTCTGCAATCACTTGCGGATGGCATATACGAGCCTGTTGAAAAAGTCTTGCTGACCTTGGCGAGCCATGAATATTTCTTCTTTTGAGAGCTGGGTTGATTTCCATCCTGGCACTAATCCAAGAGGCTACGAATTCGAGAGGGAAGCTTTTTGCTTTCCAAGGATAACAAAAATCAGTAATAGCCATCTGTTACAGCACTATGTATATGAAGAATATAAATAGTTGATTAATATGAAACTTATCTTCTAGCTATATTATATTAATATAATATAGACTATAAAAACTCTAGCTAGGCTTTACGCATTTCTCACCCGGCCGACACCCAACTACTGGCCATATATAAGCCGCACACTAGCAGGTCAGTAGTTTAATGACTTGGCTCGGCTCACCTTGTTTAAGGCACCTTGCACTTATGTTAGAGCGGACTGATGTTTGCGTCTCCGCCCACTGAAGCAAAGTTGTGGGTCTTCGGCCGTCCCATGTCATGATTGGTACGATCCAAAAAAATTTGTGTTATGGTCCATAGCTTGACCCACTGTGGTGTAATATCCGCCAGCCACAAGAACATGTGGGCCTTGATGTTCGCTTGTGAGAATATTACGCGAGAGGAGTGACGGATAGGTTGGTGCCTCACCAGTCTCCAGGGCCATTTTTTGGAATATAGCAGAAGAATCCAAGCAGCGCGTTTGGGAATACGCAAGATCGTCAAACTCAGCCGTCTTGATTAGGAAGGAAGATCGGCAAAGAGATTCCGTCCTCAAGTTCCTTAAATTACGTGTAAAGATCTTCATTGGCCCCAATTTGACCCCATGTGTATCGAAATGTAGGCTCGTGGCCATATATTGCCCATTGTTGCCGATCGGTAAAATGTTGTGACATCAACATGCAGCTTGCAGTTAATTGACGGGCAAGTTCTCTTAAGTAACTTGAAAGGCTTGTTGCAGCTTGCTTTCCCTACAGAAACATGGCCGCACATTGATGCAGCGCAGATATTCCACAATAAAGAAAAGTCTGCATCAAACTATGTCATCTCTATGAATCTCAATTTTGAACCCTAATCACATGACACGCTAGCCTATATGTAGATAGCGCGTAAAAAAGACGTTTTGTACCTAACCAGGTAATAAATACCAGGAGCTTAGAATACCAGTATGGAAGATACAAGAGTCTAGAACTAGACGCCTAGACTGGAAGATTCGATGCAAACCTAGCAAACATCAAGGTCTTTGAGTAGGCAATCTGTCAACAGTTCCCCTCTGTATCCCGCAGCTATATTACTATAGAGCGCCCGATACTCTTTGTGACTTAATCCGGGTTCAATTTGATAGGCAAAGCTTGACAGTAAGCTTATTCAAAATCTTCGCTACTGCTTATCGTTATAATATGGCTTTAGATTTCATTGGATATCGGAGATTACTGGCTAACCTCCTTTAGTTCTATTTGCTTAGGTGTCCCCTCACTTAAAGATCTTCACGATAGCTAATAGCCTTTATAGCGACGATACCTATCAAACCCGGATAGGCGACCCGTGGGACGAAAATTCATAATATACCCCTACCCCCGGTTATTTTAGTCGTACGCCTACTATATTCTCTTCTAGTCCTGCCCTGGATTGTCCCATGGATTAGGTATAATTAGATCAGTGTCAGGACCCCAACCTAGCTACGCGCCACCATAAGAGATGGGTTTTTGGCCGAAAACCCATCTAGAGACCTCGCATTGCGAACGCACTGCGAGGTCTGTGCCACGATTACCCCGCAGATAAGCACACTATATATTTATTAATCGAGCTAACCTTCGCATGGAAGGTCAGCGATTAGTTTTTCGGATACTATCTACACTACCTTTTATAGTAGACACTATTGCCCGAATTCATACTGCTCCCTAGGACTTAGACCTAGACAAAACCCGCGGGATTCCCACCATGGGATAGACCGTGGCACGGGTAATTTCATAAAAACTAGTCCCACGGGAGTGGGGCGCGGTGGTCAAAAATGGTTTGTCCCGTCCCATGGGCGGCACTAGGGGGGTATGTCCCGCCCGCGATGGGATATGGGTATTCCCACGGGTATTATAAATAGTGCAAACTTACCCTTTTTACACATGCATTAATTATCCAATTTTTTCTGTATTTTTAGTAGTAATCTATATACGCACGTGACTATATAACTCCACCAGATCTACTAAATTCCACTAGAACTACCCTTTTTTTAAGGTTTTAATTTCGATTCTAGCTCTATATTATATACCAAAACAGCTTAAATTACCAATCTTTCAGTATTCTTAGCCAGTAGATTATATAGGGACTTTATGTAGATATGGGTAATTTTATGACTCCCATGGGAAACCCGTGGGTATACCCAGGACGGGAAATCGGTTAAAAAAAATCCCATGGGAGTGGGGCGTGGTGGTCAAAACTAGACTACCGCAAAACCCAAGTTAGGTCTAAAGTCTTAACCCAAAACCCAACCTAGGCTGGGTCCGGGTTGAACTTCTATAACCTGGACCCAACCCGGACCTAATGTTAAGGCCCCAATAAAACCTAACTTAACCTAACTCGACCTAACTTTTTCATAATTCTGGTCATAAAACTGCTTAGTCATTAAGATAATATACTATTTTTTACACCTATCTAGTTTATATAATATTACACTTTGCCTTCTTCGTAGAAGACTCTGGAAATTTTGAGAAATAACTTTATTATCCTAGAGATTATCTTAAGCTTATGCTAATTAAAGATAAAAATCTATTAAAATCTATTAATTAGAGAGTAGTTCATAGATAATATGATTTTTACCTAAAATTAGTATAGTAATAGAAATATATATATTCTCTAGTTAATACTAAGTATATCTTCTAGGAATATATAAAATTATAGTAAACTCTGCTATTTTTACTTAAAGTAGTGAATATAATATATAAGAGTTATTTATTTTACTTACTTATTTTAATTAGCTTACTTTAAAACTATATAAAATAAGTATATTGTCACGGCGTGACCTCTGGGAGCATTCAGAAGCTAAACCGCTGCGCTATCAGCAAAAGACTAGTATGTAAAGCCAAAGCTTTACACTGCTCTCGCATATATATACCTTAATCTATAGGCAGAACTCAGGCAGAACGGTTGTACGCATACACACCGTGACATAGCGTAAATAGATAGACTATAGACGAAATTAGACTTTATTAGCTTAAAAAGGTCTTTCTTCCCTTAACTTTTCTAAGGATAAAGGGGAAATATTAACTTTTAGTTCTTAATAGTTATAGAAGTTATTAAACTCTAAAATTTAATGAAATTTACTATTAAAATGACGTGATTCTAATTTATATACTACCGCACTCTTCTTATCTTTTATAACCTCTTAATATAGGTTATTTTACTATTTTAAAGCGCGTATATAGTTAAATTATTAAAAATCTTATATAGGATAGAGTAAACTATATTAATAAGTTAGACTTCCTTAACGCTTTTCTAACCGCCTAAAATAAGGCATTTAAGCTAGAAACTATTAAAAATAGCTTCTTAGTAATAGAATTAGTTCTATATAATCTAGATTAAGTGATTTTAAAGCTTAATATTTAACTTTATATACCTATACCACCACTACTAGTATCTTAAGGTAGCTAAAGTAGCGCGTGGGAACCAAGAACACTATTAAATTCAAAATAACTCTAGAAATAAGCTTCTTTAATTTAAAAGCTCTTATCTAAGAGCCCACTAAACCTTATGAAAACTAGTCTAGATTAGATATATAAAGGCTTCTAAATAGAGCTATAAAGGAACGCTTTTCTTACTCGAGAAAATGAGCTCTTACGTGCTAGAATGGAGAAAAAGAAGAAGAAAATGGCAATATCAAAGCAGCAGATAGCTCATCCAGAAGGTCTATTAGTAGCAGAGCTTAAAGAATTAGCCTAAAAGGTTGAAATTCCGTAAATTCAACCTCAAGATGGAGAGCTAACCAGTCAAAATCAAGCTTAAGAACCACGACGTCGAGCTCCACTAAAGTGTTCTAAATGTGGAATTCGAGGGCATAAGATAACGCATTGCCCAAATTTGGCTAGATAGCTTATATATTCAATATTATATAGATATAGTTGAATTATTCTAGATTAAATTCTAATATGTTAGTTGGGGTGGGCGGGCCGACCGGGTAGGCGACTGGACCGGGAATTACGTTATTTAAGCTAAGCTAGCTGAGCTAACCAGGGTCAGGTGACCCTGGCCCGGTCCACAACGGGACTCCATGTAACACAATCCAGGCAATCAACAAGGAAATGCCGCCAATTGGCAAGGTTGCCGACCGTCAAAATGCGTTTCTCGCATAGTTGGCACAAAGACGTAATGCGAATTCTGCGGCCGTCTCTTACCGGACATATTTCCATGTGCAAAAATTGACGCATCAGACTTGCAATCGCTGTCGCAGGCGCAGGATGAAATAGCTTACTAGGCGACATTTGGCTTTTTTTTTTTTTTCTTTTCTATCAAATCCTCCACTCCCCATTCATCCAAGGTCAAAATCTGAATTTATAATCCCCGAATTTTAGCATCTTTTATTTATCCTTTACATTATGTCCCCTCCAGAAGTTGTCTTTTCCCTCTTTTCCAGGTTTCCTCCCGAAATTCGTCTGGCGATCTGGCACCATTGTATCCCGCACCGCATCGTGGAGCTCGACCACCAACAAGACGATATTATCTGGGACCAGCCCCCATGCAAAATAAACTGGAAGATATCTTGTACTAATCGAGCACCTCCTCTTATTGCGCGGATTTGTCGCGAATCAAGGGATGTAGCGTTTGGAGACGGTCGTGGCCCTCTCTCGCTCCCAGACCTCCAAAAGAACGCCGATACACAAAGCTTCAGCCATGACATGATTGAACACCCATGGCTCGACCTAGCGCGTGACTCCGTTCACCTTAACTGGGATGCAGATGCAGATATCGAGTGGGAAACCTACAACTGGGGTGACCCAGTGCGTTGTCTCCTGTGGCATGCAGCGCGCACCAAGTCCCGCCAAGCCTCCATCATGTTGGGTCACTTGCAGGCCTTTCAACACCGGAGGAATCCCGACGAACCACATTCACAATACAGATGGACTCGGTCCCAGCTGGCAGATATAATGCGTACAAAACAAAGGTGGACGGTTGTGATCCTACCGCCTATAATTGTACACACAAATGCAGAGACCGCCGCAGGCCTGTTTGGCCTACTTGCTGATGCGCGAGTCCAGATTGTCGATGCGGACGACGAGACAAGCATTAACGAGTTCATGAAACTTGGTGAGGCTTCTAACGTTACGATTGGGCCAGGTTTTGCCCAGGAGGACCTAATTCGCGCCAAGAAGGAGCTGCGGGGTGCAGTCGAGTCTGTTTTTGGGACGGAGGACTCGGCTCCTACGATGCGCCCGGCTGTCATGTTTCGCCTTTGTACAGGGAAGTGCAAGTAGGGGTTAGGCTGTTTTCCCGACTCTACGATTCGATTTGCAAGCACGCGAGATATTGAATCAAGAAGAATAGAAAGTTATCACTCAAACTCTTATCAAAACTCAAATTCCGAACATTTACGTTGCGTGGGCAAGGAAGCCATACACAAAATCTCAAGATCTTTACATGGTGTAGAGATATTATACTAGATCAACTGGCCCATGACAGTCTTAATAAATGGAAAGAGAGTAACTTGCTATTTCGCAAAAAAGTCTACCTCTACTAGAGAGAATCATTAACTAACGCAAATAACAAAAGCTGCGACCATTATGTCCCTGCAATAACCTACTAACTATATTGCCTATCTCTTCCCTTTCCAAGTTATAGCTTTTTTTTTTAAAAAAAAAAAAAAAAAAAAAAAAAAGGAAAAGGAAAAGAAAAAACAGGATTATCACAAGTTTATAAAAAGAGTAAGTAAAAGAGTTCAAGATCAATATACAGGAAAATCCCCCTATCCTACTAACAGTCATTTCCCCCGAAAGCACGAGCCGATATCTGCTGAGTGCCTGCAGCGGCTTCAAAATGCATACGGACTCGACCCGACTTTGTCTTCTTAGTCCTCTTTTGCTGCATCAGCCACGTCTGGAAGTCATCCCAATAAGAAGAAAATTGAGGATCCTTCGATTTTGTCAAGTCGATATCGATATCTAGGTACGTTGATCCATCAATCGCCGTCGGATTCTTAACGTCCACAGAGCCTGACCAGTTTTTCTCATTGTGGAGGTAGTCATTGACCTCGTCGATAAATTCCTGGCCGTTTTCGGCCAGGCGTCCCTCATGTGCGCCCTGAATGGCATTGCGTGCCTCTGCGAGACCGTCCTTGACTGCATCATCGCCAAGATGGCGACGGGCAGCCTGCATCTTATCAGTGATTTTGCTCATGACGTCGGCGATTCGCGGGTTCGGCTCCGTGAAAGCGCCTGGCAAAATTTTTTCGGGGTCTTGGTTGGGGATGAAGTCTTTAGTTCCGCCCTTTCCGTCCGAGACCTGTAATTTGCCGATTTCGTCGGCCATATCGACGGCGTCAGGATAGAAATACTTTCCAGCCGTGGTGTCTTGGCCTTCGGGAAGCTCATGTCCATCTCTCTGGAGGTGCTTGATGAACTCGTCCAAGTAGCAGGTGCCGTCGGGGACGGAGCCGAAGCAATTGGGTGCGATCATCTCTGGTCGTGCGCCAAAGGCCTCGATATCCATGCGGTACGCATACCACATATACATAGTCTATGCGGGAGGGTCAGTGAGTCGGTCTCTGAAAGAGTACCGGATAACTCTGAGGAAGGGGAAATAGAGTTGCTAACCTGATAAGGCCCTGCGCCCTTGCTAGCAGCCACATACGGGGCCAGGTAGGACATGAAAATAATAGCGATGAGAAACATTATGGCGGTGTTGAGACGGTGCTCTACCACTGCCTATGATGTTGATATCAACCAAGTTAATCCCTCAACGAAAGATAAAATCAATAAGGACAAAAAAAAAGAGAAAAGAGGAAGACGCTGTGAAAGTGAATCAGACACGGCTGGGGTGGTTGTCGAAGATAAGGGAGTGCCACTATACTTCAATACTCCCCAGTGAGCGCGCTTTCCCGAGGAAATAGAAGGACTTCGAGAAACTGGACTACGATTTAGTATGTATTCCATCGGATACTAGGGAATACTGTACAATACACGCAACAGACAAAGGCAACTTCGCTACGGAGGGGAAGAAAAAAGATCCTGCAATTTCGCATCCCGGTCTAGAGCTGAGGAAAAGGCGTATCTCGACAAAACGGCAAGGCTAATTCCGAGGGTGTGCGGCTTTGTTCCTGATCTGCACCAGCCTCATATCACAACAAGAACAACAAATGTGAGACATGCTGCATTCCTCCGGAGCTTGAAGAGATGTTAGCGCGGAGGCGCAATTTATCTATGAGGAAGATTCTCCGGAGTACCAACAGTGCTAACTCTCCGCCAAGAGGCATCCGGCGACTACACTACGGAGTACATCTCCACAATCAATGCAACCCTACACGGAAATTATGAGCACGCTAAGCTTCGGTACCATGGCCATAGGGTGCTCCCCTGAAGTTTTGGCCCCAGGGGGCTCAGCTGGGACGCCTGAGGCGAAAAGAAGCCAAGAAGACCGTAGCAGACCCTAACAGACCTTAGCAAACCCTTAGCGGATCTTGGCGGCAGTGGTCCGTACCAACCACCGTTGGGGAAGGCCTGATTAGTTGGGGGCGAAAAGCATCGTTAACGTGAAACAAGAACTGGGGTGTGTGCTTCTGCAGTTGGCTCCTGCAGGGCAGACTTCTTCTACCAACTTGTTGGATGAATTGTGACTCTGATTGGCTTCCAACTGGGAAATTAGGCATTCTGGACTCCAAACTAAGAAAAAGTTGGCACTCAGAAGACCGGCAGATTTTCTTATCGCACTAACGGGGCTAACTAGGGAGGCACCTGGTGACATGGAGTATGGATTAGGATGCTCCGTGTTTGTTGCGCCATGTGTCTCCTAACCGAGGAAGACGTTATTATGGACGCAGAAAGGAAAACGTGGTATACGGAATTTCCAGTATTTTTGACGGGCTTTTCAGGCCTGCGAAATATAAGTCCCAACCACAGCCCGCGTCTTATGTTTCTCATGAACACTGCGACGCTCATCTCATTTTTTCTGCTTCTTGCTGGACAGAATGAGCGGCGTTTGTAACTACATCCAAGTCCAGGCGGGCGACGGGTGTTGGGCCCTGGCCGACCGGTGTGGCATCACCCAGGCCACCCTCACCAAATACAACCCTTCCAATGGCTTCTGCGACAACCTCATACTGGACCAGTATGTCTGTTGCTCGGCTGGATCCCTTCCGGACTTCTCCCCCCAGCCCGACGATGACGGCAACTGCTTCGTCTATGTTGTTAAGGAGAAGGACTTGTGCGACACCATCGCCACAGCGCACAAGATGGACAAGGCCAAGATTCCCGACTACAACGAGCTCACCTGGGGCTGGATGGGGTGCGGTAACCTCCAGATCGACGGAAAGATATGTCTTAGTAAGGGCACGCCGCCATTCCCTTCACCTGTAGATGGAAACGCTTGTGGCCCTCAGGTACGTTCCTCCTTCTCCTCCCTTGTCCCAAGACACATCTTTGTGTCTTTCTCTCATACTATGCTGACTGGTCGCTCATCAGGTGCCCGGAACAAAACAACCAGCCAAAGGTTCGGCATGGGACTGGGCTGAGATGAATCCCTGTCCCCTCAACGCCTGCTGCGACATTTGGGGCCAATGCGGTATCACTCCTGAGTTCTGTACCAACACCACTGAGAAGGGCGGGTGAGTCGCAGTCATTTGAGACTAGGAGTATCTGATTATTTGATAATGTTGTCACTAATACACCAATCACAGAGCGCCCGGCACGGCAAAGGCAAAAACAAACGGCTGCATCTCCAACTGTGGTACTGAGATCAAGAGTGTCAGCGTATACCCCGCTAGACCTTATCGCATCGGCTACTTTGAGGCATGGAATCTAAACCGCCCGTGTGCCAATATGGACGTGTCGAAGATGACCGACGGTGACTACACGCATGTGCACTGGGCCTTTGGTAACATCACCGAAGACTGGAAAGTGGACGTGAGTGGGCAACAGGAACAGTTCGATGGCCTGCTGAAGCTGAAGGACATCGAGCGCATCATGAGCTTTGGTGGCTGGGGTTTCTCGACTGATGACTACACGCACAACATCTTCCGGCAGGGTGTCAGGGACGGGAATCGCCAGATCCTGGCTGCCAATATCATCAAGTTTATTGAGGATAACGGTCTGGACGGAGTGGACTTTGACTGGGAATATCCAGGCGTAAGTTTTTGATCTGGTGTTTGTTTGCTGGTAAAGGAGGTAACTCACGCTTTTGTTCCCTCTAGGCCCAAGACATTCCAGGACTTGACCCGGATCACCTTGACTCGGGAGAGAACTATGCCGAGTTCCTGAAGCTCGTTCGCGCCGGGTTATCAGAGGATAAGTCTATCTCCATGGCTCTCCCAGCATCATACTGGTACCTCAAGGCCTTTGACCCGATCACTCAGTTTGAGGAATCTATTGTGAGTATTTCGAGGATTTTGAACAAGTTTGATATCCTGATGCTTACTCTTCGGTATAGGATTACTACGTCTTCATGACATACGATCTTCACGGCCAGTGGGACTGGAACAACACGTTCGTAAAGTAAGATTGTGCCATGCCCGCCTCTTTTTTTGTTTTGAGTCTCATTGCCCTGGCTAACATCACTGTCAAGTCCTGGTTGTCCGGATGGAAACTGTCTGCGCAGCCATGTGAACAAGACCGAGACCGAGTATACCCTGGCCATGGTCACCAAGGCTGGACTCCCGTCTATCAAAGTCGTGCCGGGTCTTGCCCTCTACGGCCGCAGCTTTGAGATGACTGATAAAGACTGCAAGGGCCCTGAATGCACGTTTGTCGGCAAAGAATCAGGTGCCACGAAGGGACTCTGCACAGATACGTACGTGGTCCCTTTCAAAAAAAAAAAAAAAAAGAGTTCTTCACTGACCAACATACAGCGCTGGCTACCTCTCTAACATCGAGATCAATGACCTAATTGCCCAAGCCAACGGCGACGACAACTACAACGACATCACAATCAACGAGCAGTATGAGGATGAGGGCGACATCTTAGTACGTATTCTATTTTTGTTTTCTCAAGTGCTGTGACAGAGTGTTTCGAAAGTCATGATAAACTAACCCCTCGAAACAGATCTACAACGACAACCAATGGGTCTCCTACCTCACCCCGGACAACTACAAGGCCCGTCAACAATGGTACAACGACCTGCACTTTGGCGGCAGCGTCGACTGGGCCGTGGACCTGAACCGCACCTACGGCAACAATGGCACTGGCGACGAGGCAACAATTGGCGACGACTGGGATTATACACCCTGTCCCAATATCTGGTTCCCCTACCTGGAGGGACTACAGGCTGCACAAGATGGTGGCGCGATTCCCGACCACTGCGTCGCGCAGATGACACTGGACACGCTGATGAGCATGCTGAACACGGCCTACGAGAACTACACGGACGTCAACAACGGCTACGACGGCATGTTTGAATACTACGTCAAGTACATTGAAAAGGTCGTGCCTTCTGTGCTCACCAATGCCTTCATGTGGAACATGAGCACCACCACCAATAACAATCAGATTATCCCCGACAGGGGCTATGGAATGCCTTGTAAGCCTCCTCCTTTCTTTCTCTTCCAGGCATCATACAGGTGTAAAGTATATTAATTAACGCTTTATTTTTAGACTTCAACTGCCGCTTCCCCGAACAAGACGACTTTGTCCCCTGCACCCCCGAGGAGTGGGACAACAACCTCGACCCTCTCATGCGGTACATTGACGCCACAGACCTCGAGATCGGCGACGACGACGGCCTCTCCAAGGCCTACGCCAAAGCAGGCCTCCTGGAGGAATGGATCGACTACGGCGACTACTCCATCCATCGCACCAACGCCAACCAAATCCCCGTGCTGTCGTGGACACTCAGTTTCAAGGGCTGGCCCGTCAAGAACGACTCAATGGTCGTACAGAACCCCAAGGACATCGTGAACAAGGGCCTACCAAACATCGACAGCCTATATTCCGAGATGGAGACGACACGCATGCAGATCTCCAGCGGACGATGGACGGGCGGCGATCCGCGCGACGCAGCGATAGCGTACGCGCCGGCAGTCTTTATGCTGGAGCAGGCGGTGGACAGTATGGCACAAGCAAAGAAGCTCGGTGAGGAAGAAGAAAAGGAAGAGGAAGAAGAGGAGAGAAAGAGGAAGGAGAATCTGATTCTGATGATTGTCGGGGTCGTGCTGATGTTTGTTCCTGTTGTGGGGACGGAGGTTGCGGCTGGCCTTGGGTTTGCGAACCTGGCGCGTATTATTGCGATTGCGGGTGAGTTGGGGAATGCCGCGTTGGCGACTTACGATACTGTCGAGGATCCCAGCTCGGCGGTTGTGAACATGCTGGGGATGTTGTTTGGGGCTGGGAGCATTGCGAAGGTGGGGCGCGATGCGAAGGGTCTTTCGAGTGTGGCCAAGTGGCGCAGGGGCATGAAGACGGGTGAGCTCGCTTCTCTGGGGGATATTTTCAAGAATGGAGATTCGAAGGTGCAGAGTTTGATGGGTAAGGTGTGCAAGCTGTAACTCTTCTAGGCTTGATCCAAGGGAGGAAGGAAGAAGAAGAAGAAGAACATATGAGGAGTTGACAGGTTCTCTTCAGATGTAAAATATTCGATCTCTTCATGTAACTATTCAGTTAATCTTTCTTTTTTTTTTTTTTTTTTTTTTTTTTCCTTTTTACAATATCTTACTACTTTATTTACTTTGTCAGACATATAACAGGCATATATGTCTCATTTTGTTCTTCCCTTTTTGGTTAGGGGGCATATACGAGATCCCCCCTTGAGGAGTCCGACCCTTCGATGAATTTCGCAATGGCTTTGGCTTTCACTAGTGTACAAGACGAGTTCCATTTGGAAAATCTATCTTACAATAAGCAATTATGTACTTGACCTATAAATACTGGAGCAGAATGCTTCGGAATTATGATAGCTAAGACCGTGCTACAAAGCGTCGCATCAAGGTGCAGAGAATCGGGATCGGAAGTATTCTGGAGTTCGACCCTCAAGAACAGAGCACACTAACACGGCATACCTCCCGGCTCTTGATTTTATACTGTCTATAGTTGTAGTGTAACAGGATCGTAGATGTGGCTGACCGCCATGTTCTGCTTGGCACGACGTTCTCGGAAAGTAGCTGTTGGGTGGACAACGGAGCGAGTCATCAAGGCGTGGCCTTGTGGGGCGAACCAAGAATCCCGAATTATTCCCGACCTCCAAACAGGGGACTTCCCACTTCCCTCGGAGAACTTCTTCCTTGTCCAGGAGGACTTTCCGTGTTACAGGATAACTCCTGTAACAGGCAGTTGAAAGACCTACATACTAAGTTTCCGTATCAATCCATGAATCCCTCAGCGTTCGCATTACATGGGTTTCTTAAAGGTATAGTTTCTTGAGTGAGAGAGCTACCATAGATTTAATCCAGGAGGAACTTTCGATGGTGCTTTCTTGAAGTGGCCACACTAGTGATTTGGCCCTTTTTAAACTGCATCCTCCTCTACTCTTGCCTGGAGTGCTTGGAAGTCCGCCTCCTTTTTATCGAGCTCCTCTTTCATTGCCACCCATTCCACATTATACTGCTTTAGCTGCTCCATCTTGCTGTTCACGAACAGTTCAACCTCAGGATCGGCAACTGTCGCGAGCTCATCAATAGAAGGTAGAAGCTGTCGAAGAGCAAGCCAGGCCCGGCTGTCGGGAGCTTCGAAGCAGGAGTATATTAACTCATGAAACCAGAATCTTCCGTCCTCCATGGATTCGCGCATGAGGGCCGCCATACTGGACTTTGAGCAACTTTCAGCTCTTTTTTGCTGCTCCTCCTCCAGTACAGTGGTGAACATTTTAAGCAGAGAATTGTACAACATCCTCATCTTCCCAATCAAATGGTCTCTTCAGAAGTAGCCACCGCGGGGGCGAGTAAAGCATCTGAAATGGTGCTGTATACGCCCATTCCCAGTCTAGCACAGCGACTATCTTCAGGTCCCATGCGTTGTTGACGAGCATGTTCCCAAACCGGAAATCGTCGCAAATTAACTTGAACGGGCCATGGTCATACTTGTTGTCAACGAAACGGGGAACAAGGGCCGTAAATATCTTATTATGGAGATATTTGCGACGAGCATCTTCCACATCATCAACTGAATTCGGTTGGTCCCATAGATGATGCATGTCTTGTTTCGCCACATATTGAAAATAGCCGGTAGCTGAGGAGAATGTTCCGGAAATAGGGCCTATTATGACGTCCGCAGTGTCAGCTGGCTGCCATGTATATCTCGAAATAAAATTATAGACTATCTAGTATCTTATCAATATAAATATTACTAAAGTAAATTCTACCTCTAGTTAACCGCCTTACTATATTTAGCTACTTAAGTCTCTAAGTCTCTTACCTAACCCATAGGGGTAAATCCATTGGACACCGATGGATTTAGGGTGAGCGGCTCTAGTATGGGGAAATAAAAGTGGGTCGGGGTCTAATGGATTTAAGCTTCATGACACCGATGGATTTACATTCTGCCCTCCGGGGCAGCTCATATTTTTATATGTTTGGCAACACCCTCCGTTTTATGCCTAGAACGAATTTTAAAGCATTCCCACCACCAAAAAAGGTGTTTTCAGGGGTTTAAAGTTAACCAGTTTTTTTGATAGGGTGCCAACCCCGCCCACCCGTGATATATCATAGTATGATAACTACTACCATAGACCTAATAGGGTTTATATCATAATAAGGATTATTTAAGGTAAAAATTTAGGGGGTGATTCATTTTATTTTATTCATGTTCCCATTTTCATTCTAAGGCTAATTAACTAAGTTCTAGCGATCTAGTTTTCTAATTATCTAGAATCCGCCTATATATTCTAGGATATATATTTCTATTTCTAGTATATCCTATACTACCCCTAACGCTAGCGAGTTTTTTTCTACTAACGTTGAATTTTAGGTCGTGATTTACCGTAAATATAAGTATACTATCTAAAAGGATAATATCACTATCTATTTAACTAGCACCTATTACTAGGTACCCTATTCTATGGCGCGGTATATTAAGTAATATATCTAGTAATAGGACTATATTAAGGAGCCTAATATTAGTAGTTAGCTAACCTAGATTAACTAGCCTATTCCTAGATTAACTATATATAATAATAGGTTATTATATTTAAAGTGTTTAGTATATATTTACTAAGATATTAAGGTTATTAAAAACTATTAGTCTAAGGAGTATTAATAGTCCCCTAGTAGCTACTAAGGCTAGCCTAAACTATCTAAGATTATAGGTATCTAGGCTAAGATCAATAGTAATAGTATATATATTTTATGCTAGCGGATTTTTAAGCATAGGGCTAGTTCCTATTTTATTATAGTCCACCTATTAACTACCTAACTAGATCCTATACCACCCGCTAATACCATTAAGTAGTTAGTTTAGCGCGTACGCGAGTTTCAGGCGTAGTAGATACATAGCTAAGGGACTAATATCTAGGCTAGTAAATTAGATAAGGCCATATCATAGTTAAACCACACTAGATAGCTTAGTTATTTATAGGGCATCCTAACTAACTTATTAGTATAGTCTATAGAGCGGCCCATAGAGGATAGCGAGGGCCCTAAGGGTACCATATACGCTATTTAGTAGGTAATAGAGCGATTAGCCATCATAAGCTAGTAGATCACGCGGGCTAGTAGGTTTTTAGTGCGCATTAAGGCCGCACGCACCTAAAAGGCTAAATCCCTATATAAGCCATTATTAATATATATAAATAAGACGGAGATAATAGACCACGTTAAGCCATAGTAGTAGATTTTGATATTTTTTATATATACCTAGCAGCCACATAATTAGTAGAGCCCTATATATCAATTCACATCGCGGCAATAGTAGTCATAGGAGAGCGTTTAGCACCATACCTAGGTCACCACCTAGCCTACTACCTAGATCACTACCTAAGCCACTACCTAAGTAACTACCTAAGTAACTACCTAAGCCACTACCTAAGTAACTACCTAAGTAACTACCTAAGTAACCACCTAAGTAACCACCTAAGTAACTACCCAAGCAACTACCTAAGTAACTACCTAAGTAACTACCTAAGTAACCACCTAAGTAACTACCTAGCCTACCACCCAGGCCAGCCCTAACCTAATAGACCCTAACGCGGAGCTATATAAATTACAGCTATTAGAGTACGTAGTAATAGAGTTTTACATCAGTTTATTACATTAGAAGATCTAGGACCATAAGTATAGATATGCGTTCATTTATACATTAGCTATATTAAGGCGGAAATTATCTAGGTAGGATATAGTAGAGGATTACCCCCTAAAGATTTCCAGTTTAATCAAGATTACGCGGTTTTTAGTATTACATAAAGCTATCTAGTTAGACCCTAATTCATTAGCTATCTAACATAGGTTAGTATAGGGGAAGCCCAAGAATTATTTTTATAGAGATAATATTAGTATTATAGATAGAGATATATTTAATTAGGAGGATAAGGGGAGTCTAGCTCTAGAGACCACTATTCCTAGTTCTATGCCTAGGTCCCCTACGCTAACCCATAGCGGCTAAGTTACCCATCTATTCCCTAAATAGTTACATTTAATAATAGACGCGTTTATGGTGCGGGGGACTAATAGGCCTATCTAGTGGTTATTAGATTTACGCATATATAGTATAAAGGTATATTTCAATATCCTAGCTAAGGGGCATATTAGATAGAAGGGAGAGGATAAGTTATTATATAAGTAGTTATATTTCACCATTAGTGATTTCCATAGGATAGTTCATAGATTAGTTAATAGTATATATAACTAGTTACACCACTAGTTATTATACGCGGAGAGCACGCCTATACCTAGTATTAATTTATAGGATTTATATAATAATCCTATATAGCGGGCCGTAGATTAGAGTTTTATAAAGGATTCCTAGATATAGTAGCTAGTAGATAGGGCTAAGTAGTTAGTATAGCGCGTGGCCTATAAGCCCACATTATAACGACGATTTAGTGAGACTAATAGGTAAGGGTTTTAGATATATGCGATTAACTAATATTTCACTAAGGTGGCCCAATTCTAGGAGCGATTAAGCGTTACTATCTATATCATAGCTAGATAGCCTAGTCATGTACCTAAGTTATTAAGTATCTAGTATCGAAATAGCGAGCGAGAGATCTATAATATATTTATTAAGGATAGAATAGTGGTATTTATTAGCCATTACTATAAAGGATTCCACATTAGTAATAATACCAAAGTAATTCAGCGGTATTTACCACAGGAAGTAGGGGCGTTAGTTATATAGTATATATAGTTAGTATTACTATTTATAGAGATATTATAGATATACTAGTAGTAATAGTAAGGGGTTTATACTATACCCTAACAGACTAAGTATATTTAGGGCCCTAATATTAGTAGCGAGAAGGAGTAGACCAATATCTAATTCTAGAAGGTATTAGAATCCGCGATATCGGCTAGGTTACATAGGTAGTTAATCCATATAGTAGCATACTAAGATATCGCCATCACCATCAGCTATTGATATTTACGGGTTAAGAGCTAGTTTAAGAGTAATATATAAGCTAGTTATAGCGACGAGTAGCTAGCGTATAATCCTAATAACGAGAGTGGGATAGATAAGGATAAATTCCATAAGCATATTATAGATTTATAAGCCATATATTTATCGTATATAGCTAGGATAATATATAGTTAAACCATTATAGAGCCTACCAACAGCATAACCAGCTAGTAGTAGCGGTTTTAGTAGTCTAGTGAGGATTAGTATTAGTTTTTAGGATTCCCGTCTAGTATCTATAGTAGGGCATTAGGTAAGGGTGGTTAGGGTGGTTAGGGTGGTTAGGGTGGTTAGGGTGGTTAGGGTTGAGATACGAAGGCTTGGGTAGCAAACAGGATTAGATACCCTAATAGTCCAAGCAGACAATGATGAATGTCATACATTAGAGAAATTTAATGTATAAACGAAAGTGTAAGCATTCCACCTCAAGAGTACTATGGCAACATATAAACTGAAATCATTAGACCGTTTCTGAAACCAGTAGTGAAGTATGTTATTTAATTCGATGATCCGCGAAAAACCTTACCACAGCTTGTATAGCATATTATAAAAAATTGTTACAAGCGCTGCATGGCTGTCTTTAGTTAATGTCGTGAGATTTGGTTAACTCCTTTAATTAACGAAAACCCTCACTTTATTTATTTATATAGAGTGGTTCGCTACTACATTGGACCAGATAATAGGGATTAAGACAAGTCATTATGGCCTAAATGCTGTGGGCTATAGACGTGCCACATACGCCTTTACAAAGGGATGCGATATTGTGAAATGGAGCTAATCCCCAAAAAAGGAAATAAATGGATTGTAGTCTGTAACTCGACTACATGAAAAAGGAATTACTAGTAATCGTGAATCACCATCGTCACGGTGAATTTTATCTCAGTTAGGTACTAACCACTCGTCAGGCGCTGAAAGAAGAAGATGCAGTAAGTTTGATTTTTCCTGTGTAACATTATATATAATTAGATATATTAATATGCAGGAAAGTTTTCGTATGCAAAACTTTGATTGGTGTTAAGTCGAAATAAGGTTCGTGTAATGGAAATTGCACGGGGAATATAAACATTAAAAAAAATTATATACATAGATATTTTTAAATATCTATGTATAATCTTTATACGGTACATTGGAATAATTTCCAACTGGTTCGAATCCAGAAAAAAGATAAGATTTTTTTTAAGGAAGGGTCCGTTTGTTGGTTTACGGGTTGAGCTGTAAACTCAATGGCTATAGGCCATCGAAGGTTCGATTCCTTTTCTTCCTAATTAGATTATTATTCTAATCCTATCTTGATATTTTATTATTGTATAATATAATGATAGATTATATTTGATTATAATATATGAATAATATTTTTTTATTAAATGATTCTATAACTAACGGATTTAGTATAGAAGTAGTAGATTTTCTATATTTCATTTCAGTTATGTTTGCTTTAATTACTATTATGAGTAAAAATCCTATTGTAGCTGTATTATTTTTAATAGGTTTATTTGTAAATATAGCAGGTATATTAATATTAGTAGGATATAGTTTTATGGGATTATCTTATATATTAGTTTATGTAGGGGCTGTATCTATATTATTTCTTTTTATATTAATGTTAATTAACATTAGAGTATCTGAATTACATAGAGAAACTAATAATGATATACCTTTAGCTTTTTTTGTAGCTTTATTATTTTATGG